TGCTCTGGGACCAAAAAAGATGGCACAGAAATGACAACAGATTTTTTTTAGAAAGCACAGTCTTACAAACAAACACTGAGTCCTTTGATGGATATCAAATTAGGGAGTTCTAGAAATCTGCTGAGCATTCTAAGAGGGTTTAATGCATTACAACTGGGTAGTAATTTGTGCTTTTCAGAAGACTGGTTCAGTAATGGTTTCTCTCATGCAAGGCACATTTTCTCAATGAAAAAACAAACCTTAGGTAAGTTTCAGTATAATATCATGGCTGTAAAATAAAGCTAGGATTTTTGTGACACTGAATCAAATCATGGTTATTTAGTGCCATGCTTGATGTGAAAGCATTAACAATCAGTGAACAAACACAAAGAAATTAGATTAAAAGTGCCTAGTAAAGCATGAAGGCAAAATGCAATTGTAAGCATACAACAAACCCCAGATTTCTTTCAGGAGGGAATTATGCTGTGAATGCAATAGTATCTCACACAAAATCATGATCCATGCGTTCTCTCTGACAAAATGTATCTCCATAGGCTGCAAAGGAATGGGAAGGCAAAATGCATTCATGATTGTGCAGTCAGGAGACAGAGCTCTCCTGGACATGCACCAACTCTTACTAAATTTAATGGAATTACAGACTTAAAATTTGTTACAACAGAACTTGCCACTAACAATAAAAACAATATTGGTTGATCTAATTATATTTAAGGGGGAAACATATTCTGTGTCCATACAAGATTGCATGAAATCTGTACTGAAGTTTTACACTTTCAGCTTCATCATCAGGTTTTTGTGTTGCTTAGTCAGGCACAGTGGCATTATTTGGCCTGGCAGTTACATGTGTTATTGAAACTGCTCCCTGTCTGTGTCCTTGGTGCTCTCTTCCTGTCAGAAGTTAGACAAAAAATAAGCTGGTTTGACTTCAAACAATTTTTAAATAGTTAAATTTATAAATAGTAGGTCCTTGCCAGCTTCTCTGGACACAGCCCTGTGTAATGTACTCTAGGATGTTCCTGCTTGGGCAGGGAGGTTGGACCAGCTGACCTCTGTATCCCTACAAACCTGACCCATTCTGGGATTCTGGGGTTCTGTGAATTAAAGGCCAAGGAGTGACTGCAGCTGTGAGGGGGGAGCAGTCACTAGCTGAGAATGAAAATTCTCTTGAGCTGCCAATGTAAAATCAGTTATTTCTAGATGCAAAAAAAGCGTATTTTATGCTTTGGGCATTAGTGACTAAGACCTTTTAGATAGCATGGCTTCTCCATTCCTTCCCCAGGTCACACAGTGCTGCTGGTTCATGACCTCAGGCTGCCAATTCCAATGTGCTGAAGAGAAAACCTAACCCAGCTAATTTAGGCTGCAGCTGTTGCCACTTTTTCTGCCCCAACAGGTACAGAGGTGCCAAAGCAGCATCAGAAGCAGCATCTTGGAGTGATGGGTGAGTTATGGTGCCTCCACAGCAGGTCTCAGCAGGGATCTGCTGAACTCCCTGAGCCGTGCAGGGGAGCCCAAAGCGCTGAGCCCCGGCTGCCCGCCCTGCTCTGGCTGTGCCAGGGATAAACTATTGGAAATTTGGCGGTGTGAGACTGGAGATGAGACTTGCGAGCGGTGTGACAGCCACAAGAGGGAGTCCCTATTGCTGGGAAGGAGAGGAGGAAGTCATTGGAGGTCAAATTGTTGCTTCAGACTAAACTGCTTTTGGCTTTGTTCAGCCCAAACTACCATGCATACTGATGGCCACAAGGGATTTTTACAAGACTAGTGAAATCAGAACTTCCAGCGTCTGTTAATGAAAAAAAGGCAAGACTACCAAGCTGTGACAGATTTGCTTTGGAGCCAGTATTTTCCAGCGAAGTCAAAAGAGAAATATTATTCCTTACTGTCAGTATTATGTAGGTGTGTGACTCTGTGTGCAGGGAACAAAGCCCCTAAAGCCTGCTGCTATACCATCCACATTTCTTCCTTAAAAATAGGGCTAATACTGAAAATGCTTTATTGAAATGTTCGGTATTCTCTTTCTCTTCCTCTTCCTCATGAACTTTGCCATGACAAAGTTTATGCAGGAAGACTGAGGAAATTGCATGTGTACAAATATTGAGAGTCAGCCAGCAGCAGAAATAAATCTGAGGATTGTATGGCATGCAAGCAGTTGAACAAAATTATTACCAGCAGATGCTGTAACACAGCACCAGAGAAATGTCCTTTTGTGAGCAAGTTCAACACAAAGTTTTGATGAATTTTAAGAATAAACAAATCAACAGGATAAAATCTGATTGCGTGAGGTGTTTACAAAGCTCAGCTGCAGACAGCAAGAGCCTTCCAGTGGCCCCTGTGGGCTTGGGTTCAGCCCAAAGATTGTATTGGAAAAGAGAAGAGCACAACCAGAGTGAGGTGGCTGGGCATGGTGAAAGGATTCCAGTAAGATGAGGGAGAATGCAAAGAGGTATCCTCTAGAATTAGAGTTGTGGTAGTGAAGGTGTACACTACCATGTCAGAAGCCTTCTGAAATGATTTACAGCACACAGATGCAAAAGCAGAGCTAAATGGAGGCTTAGGAACTCTGTTAAAGCCACCTGTGGTAGCCAGAAACAGTACAATATCCATTGTCATGTCGACCATCCCCCTTTTCTTCAAAACCTGCCATCTATTCCAATCTGAAATATGGCACTCCAAAGTGTAGTAAATGTCACTAACTACCACAGTGAATAGATTTTATGTTCAGAAAATATCATCAAAGGTGGAACTTAGTGACTCTGATATAAAAAAAAGTAAAAATACATGGAAGTGTCCACGAGTTTACCCAAGGCAGATCTTTTAAAAAGTATATACATCAGTGTAAGATTAAAAGGGAAAGAACAAAATATGGACAAATTTATGAGAAAATGAAAATATTTCCAACCAAGATAACGAAGTTGCCATGGTGGGAAGCAGTGGCAGCAGCAGTCCTGGCAGCGTGCAGGGCACAGCTTGCCCAGCCCACAGCTCTGCCCATGTTTCTGCAGTTCCCTGTCCCTACTCTTCTCTTTGATTAACTGCACCACAGATCCCATACCACAGAGGATCCAAGGCCTACATTAATGATGAAAGATCCCACTCTCTGATGTGTCCTAAAGGCACCCAGGTCATTATCAGAAAGTGCCAGTGACAGAGAGGGTGGTTACACAAACTGCACAGAGCTCAGAAATGAGCAATCTTGGCTTTGATTTCCAGAAAAGCATCTGCATTTAATTCTCCATTCAGGACGCCTCTGAACATTTCAGATGTACACAAACAAGCATGTTTTTCCTTCTTCTGTCCTAGATGCTTGAGAAAAATCTGTCACTTCAATAAAATAAAACAAAAAAAGGTCCTACTATACAGAAGTAATTTAATCTGAAAGAAAGTGAGCTCACAGCCACTTGTTGGATTATGAATAGCGCTGTTAAGCACTGTTGGATTATGAATAGGCCAAAATACTGCACTTTGTACTAACAAACTTTTTAGAAAACTTGTGATCATGGATTTGTGATTTTTTAAAACTGTCCTTGATTTAATTGCCTAAACAAATAATTCCTAGAGATATTTGTGGTCCAGATTCAGACTGTGTTGTCAGTGACAACACACATGGCTGTGGCTGAAAGCGCATTCACACAAAAGTGGTTTTCACATCTTCAGCACCCCAGTTTGAATGAAACAAGCCCATGTAACAAAGGCTATTAGGCCTGAAAACAATTTCAGATTTAAATATTGAGTGTACAATTCTTTAATAAATTAATTTATGCTTTTAGAAACATGTATATGATTTTGCAAGTTTCAGGAGCTTTTAAATTTTATTTGCAAAAGAATCCTCCTTTACCTCATTAAAGCCACTCAAATATTTGACATAAAGAGTGAACAAGTCTCTGTGTGCTCAGGCCATGGTTTTCCACATGACCCTTCAAATACTGCAGATCAGCTTTTTCATATAGTGCAGGATATCCAAAGCCAAAAGAAACCCAAATGCAAGCAAACTATACACAGCTTTGTTCTCATCTGCTCAATGTCATGAAAACAAGAGGTTGCCTTTTTCAGGACAAAGACCAGGATGGTTCTGTCACCTGTGGTGACACAACAGTGATGGTTCAGCACCTGTCACCTGCTGCTGTGGGGCAGCCCCACAGCACTCAGCCCAGGGTGATGGAAAATTCTGCCAGAGGCTCACTGGGCAGGGCAGCTTTGTGGTGCCACAGAAGGGATGGATGGGTCCCTGCTGAGAGACTCTGGCTGCTCTGGAGCCATCCTGGGTGTCCCCAGCACCTGCTGGGGGTCCAGGGCACTCCTTATTTCATACTTTGCTTTTCTCTGCAATGAAGGGGATCAGAAAATCAGTTCTCAGCTCTAATACACTGTGGAAGACCTGGGCCCATGGAATTTCTTCTGCAGGAGGGGAGGGATGGGATGCCAGGGGTGTTGCACTACCTGCTGTGATGAGCTGAGCAAGGACCACCTCTGGGGGAAGGGGTTTCCAGGGACGGATGATCCACCTCTATTTCTCCATGCAAGCTCTCCGAGCTCATCAAGAAGTCATATCCACATGCTAAAAACAGCTTTTGATAACACCAAGGTACTTCTGCATGTTTCTAACATTTTTGCCTGCCCTATAAGTCTGTGTTGAACCTTGTCCTTTCCCTCTCTCCTGTGTAGTCTCGGTTACAGGGCTGCAGTGTCACATTACAGACTTCGGCAGATCAGCTTTACAGCCAATTGCTTCACCGCCATGTACTCAAACCTGCTAGAATTCAGCTTTTATTTCAGCTGGCTTTAGGGAAGTTGCAAAATCCATTTATAATTATGTTTTGATTAGTGTTACTTTTATTGCCCCTGCAGGTAGTTTCTTTCAAAAGCCACCACTGGGGCACCGAGTTTGTCTGTACATTTTCCTACAAAACAGGGTTCTCATTTCTCCCTGCCCCTGCCAGCCCAGCCAGGTGGACCCGAGACAGTTTCTGCTCACCCGACACCTGACCCAGACCTGTACTCACCCCAGCTCCGGGTGCTGCGCCGTGATGTAGTTGTAGCATCTTCCCACAATAACTTCTTGCAAGTTCTTCGTGGTCCCCCTGTCCTTCCACTTCAGCATTTGGGGACTGACCTCGTGCCTGCCGTGGGTCAGCAGAGAGGCCAGCACCACGGCGAGGACCAGGGCGGCCAGCAGCACGGCGATGCCCACCAGGAGCACGGTGCGCTGCCGGGCCCGGGCCGAGCCCTGCTGCAGCGGCATCGCGCTGAGCGGCGGCGGCAGCTGCGGGACAGCGGGACAGAGGGACAGCGGGGACAGCAGCGGGGACAGAGGGACAGCGGGACAGAGGGACAGCAGCGGGAACAGAGGGACAGCAGCGGGAACAGAGGGACAGCGGGACAGAGGGACAGAGGGACGGAGGGACAGCGGGACAGCAGGGACAGCAGCGGGGACAGAGGGACAGCAGGGACAGCAGGGACAGCAGCGGGGACAGAGGGACAGCAGGGACAGCGGGGACAGCGGGGACACCGGGAGAGCGGCTCCGGCAGCAGCCGCGCCGCCCCCGCCCCGGCGGATGCCCGGGAGGCCGGGCTGACCCCCGCCCGCCCCGGGTCAGCGGCCGCCCGCAGAGCGGGGCTGAACGGGCAGCGCTGCGCCCTCCGGGGATCCCCGGGATGTGCCGGGATCTCTGGGCTGTGTCGGGATCCTTGGGCTGTCCCTGGATCCCGGGCTGACCCAGGAGCCTGGGTCTGCCCGCGGGCACCGGGGCTCCGGAGAGGGAGGTCCGGAGGGGCAGATCCGGAGGGGCAGGTCCGGAGGGGCAGGTCCGGAGGGGCAGATTCTCCGAGGCTCCGGAGGGGCAGGTCCAGAGGGGCAGGTCCGGAGGGGCAGGTCCAGAGGGGCAAGATTCTCCGGGGCTCCGGAGGGGCAGGTCCGGACCCGGTGCCGCTCCCACCGCCCCCGCCCCGCCGGTGCCGTCCGCTCCGCCGGTTCTGGAGCCCAGCGAGAGCTTTTCGGGCTGGGGAGGGAAGGCAGAGCCTGGGGGCTGTCTGTGCTCTGTGCCTCACTTTGCCGTGACCTCCCCGAGTTAAACTCGGGGGAGTTATCGGCGGTAACGCACTCAAGGGAACCCCAGGAAATAACTTGTGAAGTTCTTGTAATTCTGGTTCAAATAATTGCAGCTACATGCTCCATCTAATGTGCCAGTAAAAGATGAGTTCAAACCACCACGTGTCTGTTTGCTCTAAATTAATCGTTCTGGGCAGGACAGGTGTTGAATCTGACTACATCTAAGGCAACTTTGCAGAATAGACTGCAGTGGTCATACAAACATAGTTTATCATCACACAATGGGTTATTTTACTTCTCTCCCTTGCCCATAGGCTTGGATTAGTTGTCACATGAATTTCTAAGACAAGTGTGTAATTATGGATGTTTGAGGCTGTGTGAAATCATCTAAGGAAGTATTAAGTGTTCTCTGCAAGAGGGTTAGTTCCTTACTGTAATCTCCAAACAGGGCAATTCTACTTCCTTGGTCAAAAAGTCAAAACCGAGTAAGACTCAAATCTCCAAATCTTAACAAAAGAAGCGATGCAATTCAGAATGTAAACTATAAATTGTTCATGGATTTTTAATAATTGCTTACCGAGCATCTGTCTTTAACAGATTGAATTTGAAAAAGGGAATTTGTGACAAATCTCAGCCAGCCCTAAGCAGTTCTGAAAGAACTTGAGAAATGGTATGCTCCCACCAAAGCCTGCACTGGCAAGTGGTATTGCTAAGCATACTTTTCTGATTATATTTTCCCAGAAATCATGGGAACTTTGCAGAAGTGAAACCTCAGTTTTAAAGTGACATATCAGGCCTCTAGACCTGAAGTGGTCAGTCAGTCACAACAATATCATCTCCTCATAAGGGCGTTCTCTCTATGGCACTGCTTGTGGTCCCCACTGCTGAGAGTGCACAACATGCAGGAAGGTCTGGAGGAGACATTCAGTAAGAATTAATTAATAAAGTAAGTTCTTCCCCATATCCCTTTCAATAAGCATGTGTGTTTTCCTTGGCAGGCTCCATTGTTTTTTCTTTATTTTCAGCATCCTGTAAATGTGAACGCAAGGTATTCACAGCTGAACTGTGAACTATTTTATTATATACAAATACAAGAGAAGTTCTTGAAATTAATATTTTTGCTGTATTGTTTTTTCTTTTTCCTGTGTTTTCTACTTTTGATTTTAGTTTCATTAACTAAGAAAATATGTTGGGAAAACCAGCTAGTTATCTTAAGCGGTTTATGCAGTAACATTGCAATATCTGCTTGTTCTGGGTATTGAAAATATATAGCTTCAGTAATGTAAGAGTCACTTTAAGAGTGGAATGATGGAATAATTAATTTAAAGGCTTAAAACTTAAAAAAATGCTATTTTTCAGTAGCCTGATTTGTGTAAACTTTTCTTTTCAGATATGAAAATGATTCACCAAGAATGAATAAGTAAATAAGATGAGTGCAGACTCAGAGGCTCTGGAAGGTGTCCTTGATGCTGATTTTGTAACACCTCAAACTACATAAGGAGTGTCAAAGACAAGTAAATGTCAAGCCTCCTTTCAGCAAGCCTTGGCAGCCTCATCAGGGTGAATAAATAGGACAAGCAGAGTTGAGCAGGCAGCACTAAAAACCAGTAAAAGCTCATACTCCCAGTGTTTCAGAAGGTAGCAGATTCTTTCCCAGCATGAATGCAAGCATGAAATCACTCCTTGCAAACTTTCTGGCCCTTTAGTATTTCCACAAGAGGTGTGATTAGAATAATAAAAGTGCCTCAGCAAAGAAGAGATGAAACAGTATCCCCTGAGTGGGATGGGAAGGAAGAACAGAAGATAAAGTGAAATGAGGAGGGATGAAGGGAGGGGAAAAGCAGTGCAAGGGCCTGGCATTCCCTTAGCTCTGTGGAGGGAGCTGGATTTCACTTCCTCACTGAGAAGTTTTCCCAATGCCAATGACCTCAAGCTGAATGATTTTATTCCACTGGAATTCAGTTCTGTAAACAGGACCCTACTGAAATCCAAACTTAGGATTTCCCCCATGATTGCAGTTAAGGGCTCATGGATCTCTATTCCTCTTGAACTGTTTTCCTAGTGCTTATTTTTCCATTCTATAAGGAAAATCACAGTTTTTGAAAGCACTGTATCTCATTAACTGATAGCCAACTTCTGGAGTCCTCTGAGCTGTGTGAATTTCCAAGATATCAAATCTAAACAAATCTTTTCAAGGTGTATGCATTTTTTTGAAAGCCTTTACACTAAATCTTCAGGCAGGATGATTAGAAAGTGTTTGTAAAATACCAGAATACAGAAATACTTCAGGAACCTAATTGCCAGCCTCTGCCTTGACACCATGTACTGCAGCAGGGAACTTGATAAAAATGATTCTGTGTTAAGTCCAGTTTATCCAACAGCATAGGAGCATTGTGAGACAAAAGCAGCAGGTTCCCACTGCTACCTGAGACTTCTGGGGATGATATTTTTGAGGCAACTAGGGATAAAAGACTATCCTCCAGCTATTCCTAAGGCCTGATCAATCAAGCTTTTGATTGTCCTTTTCTTTTTTTTAGATATCAATGTCAAATGTAGATAGTTCAGGCACCCAAAGCATGGCTGAGGAGAGAAAGAATCCTTCATGGTGGAAACTGCTGATAAAAGGTGTGCAGCAGGTGTGACTGAGTCTTTCTAAATAACCACAATATCCACAGTGCCACTAAACACTCCCAGTACTCTGGACACCTGTAATTTCTGGCTGTCACTCCTCAGCAGAACTTACAAATGAGAGAACGTGATCTGAAAAGAGCAGAAGCTGTTATAACAATTAAAGCAATATCTTTCCTGGATTTTGTTGGAATAGCAGTGACTGTAATCTCAGTGTTTCCCAATTTCACAGTGCTGTCATAACAATTAGAGAATATTTGAGAGGAACACTGAAAATTAAGTGATAACAGGGCTGGGACAAGGAAACTAGCCAGCAGAAGGAGACAGCTGTGAAGAAATATATGCCCTCTAATCACAAACATCAACTCCTGCAAAAAAAGCCTTTGTAACTCGGTGTCTGGGCATCCAGTTTACTCTTCTTTCTTTTACCTCCTCTGCAGATGCTGCTAAAATGTAAATTTTCCGGGTGAGCTGTGCTGTGGCCCCAGTGCATGACCTGCAGCATATGGGAATTATTTAACCTGTAAGTTGCTCTCTATTTCCCTGGTGGCAGCCCCTACTGGCAGAGAGCCAATGGTGCCCTCTCCCTGTACCTGTGCTGGTGGCCATCTAAAGCACATGGAAAACACTCCATTTGTGTCCTCTGCAAAGCCACATCTGCTGCTGGGAGCACAGGACATATTATACTCCTGTTCACCAGATGAGCTGCCTGGGGTTGGTCTGAGCATCAGCACTCCCTTCCCAACCCCAAATCCTTTTTGTTCACCTGGTTGATGTTAGATAGTTTTCTTCTTCAGTATTGTCATATTGATAACTTTATGTTACTCCACACAGATTTTGACTTTATTTACACTCGCTTCTCCTGTAAATTCTTTAAGATTACTTCTGATAACATTATATGTTCAGCCCTAAGTATCAGATATCAGGGGGGGTTACTCTTCAGAACAGGATACTGTGGCTTCCATTCACAGAAATAACAAAAAAGAAGGCTTCTGCAGCCCATTACATAAGATTCTGGTTGAAATTGGCTAATTAGTGCACGAGAATTTGTGAGGAAAGAGACTGACAGAGAGAGGAACAGAGAAGCAAACCAAGTGATTGTGTAGGACTCCTTTCTTTTGTAAACCAGGCTCAAGGGAAATTCTCTTCCCACTTGCAAGGCTGCAAACAGCAGTGACACAAAGTTCTGTGCTGTGCTAAATAAGTGACACCACCTGCTGCAGGTGCAATATAAAATCTACCTGATGGATGAGGTAACTGGCTGTCAGACCTTTGCCAGCTAATCTAATGCTACAATGTTCCATAGTATACTGAAAAGTTTTTTAACCTCTTCAGCATTTTCTCAGTTCTTTGAAAGGATATTGCCTCCTTTTATGTCCATGCCTTGCTGCATGAAGAAGCTGTTTGAAAGTTCATAAACCTTTTTGTGTTTCCTGTGTGGTTTGTATACAAAGTCCAGGACTCTGCTAGCATACAACAACTGCCCTGCATGAAATTATGCAGTATCAAATTTTGTACATTTACTACACTTTGTAGTAAGTGTAGAGATAGACACAGCTTCCTCCAAGCAACTAAAGCTGAGGGCTT